TTCAGAATTTTTTAATACCGTATTTTCTCATGTTGGTAAAAATAAGAAAATGCAGTACTAAAAAGTTGATAAAAAATTCTGAAAAAATTCTCAGAACTTTATGAGAAGAAAATAAATGATTTTTGTCTCTTGCAGTTTTTCTGTAAAGTTGATAGTATATCAAACATATAATATTACATATGATATTATCGATGCGTTGCAGCGCGATTGCATCTTCCGCGCCACTTCTACAGTTTACTGGTATTGTGGATTGCGAGGTGTTTGCTCGGATAACAACCTCGGACTATAAAATAGCAAATCCAACGTGTCCGAAGCTTATCCAGAAGGCGTGGAGCACGATAACAAATGTGACTTCAAACGGTAACGAGATAGTTCTCCAACGCTTCGCGTTAATTCGCTGACCCCTCTTTGCTAATTCTCTGATCCTTGCTGTTTTAGACGAGGGCAAAAAATGGCTGTCGGATAATTGGAAACTGTGCGAGTCACTGAAAACCGCGGAGGATGTTAAAACGCTGAAAAATTTCTTACAGGAAGTCTACATAAACCTGGCCATGGTCAACTATCCGTACGAAACTAACTTCTTAGCGCCATTACCTGGAAATCCGATTAATGTAAGGGCATATCTCTAACTTTGAAATCATAAACTTTCTTGCATGGATTTTCGGTTGAATATATTTTTTCCTTATTGAAAGTTGGACAAAATTATTACATTCCGTGCTATACGTATATATCAGAGTAATATATAGATTCTAATTAAAATCAATTTGAAGATTTCCGAGCTGATGATTTGAATGTTATTGCTCAGGTTTTCTGTCAACATTTAACAAACGTGTCATTAACGGGAAAACCGCTGTTATTGGCACTTCATCGAGCTATCAGTGTTTATACCAACTATACAGGAAAAACAAATTGTACCTCCATAAAAAATGCAGAGCCAGGCTTGGACGCTGATCAGGGATGGGATTATCAAGCATGCACAGAAATGGTGATGCCGATATGTACCGATGGCATCAATGATATGTTTGAGCCGGTGAAGTGGAGTATCGCAGATTATAACGATACCTGTTTCAAGAAATATTCTGTATCGCCGCAACCTTATCTAGTTTGTGAGCAGTACGGTTGTCAGGATTTTAGCAGCGCAAGTAACATCATTTTCAGGTACATGAAACAATAAGTAAATTTAAATTTTTTCTTGCTTCTCTCATCTTTTATACATATTTCTGTTTCTAATTTTATTATACTGCTATATTATAGATTTTCTTTCTCTCTATTTTATATTTTTATTCCCTTTCTAATATTATTAATATTCTCACACTTTCATTTCGATATTATTTTAATTTTGCGTCTATTTTCTACAACTTTTCATTGCTAAGTCATCAATAAACTTTTATTTTTTTTTGCAGCAACGGATTACTAGATCCGTGGGCGAGCGGAGGTGTACTCCGCAATTTATCCCAGTCAGCGATTGCAATAATAATGCCGGATGCTGCGCATCATCTTGACTTACGAGAAACTAACAGTAACGATCCATACAGTGTTCGCATGACACGCAAATTCCATCGATTTTGGATTGACAAGTGGATCAGGGAATATTGATAGAATAGGAAATTTTTAAAGTTCGATGTGATGAAAGTAGTTCGCGAGATTATCAGGAATAACGGCTGATCGAAATTTGTCTTCTTTATTTCTTAAATAAAAAATACAAAAACAGGACACCTACGTCGCGACAACAATAAATACTCAGCGCTGGCTCGGCTATAACGCTAAACAAAGTATTTGGCGAAAACTCAATCAAAAACATACGCGAAAAAGCATTTCGGTATCACAGTAAATAATAAATGCACATATCTCGTTAGACATTCTAAAAGATCTACGAGAGAGTATAAAACATTTAGACAACGCAAAATCCATTTAAAAACGTGTGATTTTCCCGGACGTTCTCGCGATATTTTTAAATGTTCACGTTGTCTAAAAATCTTTTGTCACGAATCTAATATCACTATAGCACATAAAAATGGCTACTTAATCAAATAAAACGTTCTAACGCTCGTAATGCTCTATCGCAATTATTTGATAATGATATTTCATATTAATTATAAATGTTTGCGCTGTATTATCTCTAGTTTATTTTTTTTATTGTTTTATGTAATTTCTTATGCCAAGTTTGTCCGAAGGAATCATGTAGGGAGCAAGTATAAGCGAATAAAGCTACCGAAGAGAGATATACGAATTCCTAAATGTAGAATAAATTTCTCTTGAGAGAAACATCGTATTTTTAACCGAATCTATAAATATTATGTAAATATGATATCATGAATTTATAGTTCGAGTTTCTGAAATCTTTGTCATTCCACAGGTACAGCATTGTCTTTTCACTTTTCTAATGGACTCATATCATTTTCTATATTACTAGAATGATCTCTCTCGTATATTATATTAACACGAAAATGTATATTTCTAATAATATTTTAACATGTACGATTTGTGACTCTGTTGGAATACTTTTGTTACATTATATCTTATAAATAAAAAATTGAATACTCTTGGACAAATACTTGTGCCTTCTATGGCGTGCTCCAAAGTGTTTCAATAAAGAATACGTTTAAATAGTTTTGGATTCGTCTACTGTGTCTGTGACCAGTGTTAAATTATGTTCTCAATCATATTTACGATATAATTAGGCATCTTTCGCACATATTACATCTGTATAAAAACAAGAAGAGAGTTTCGAGATATCATTTAAATTTTAAAAGTAATACAGGACATTCTCTCTCTCTCTCTCTCTCTCTCTCTCGCGCGCGCGCTCGCGCGAAACCGCAAACGAGTATATTATCTAATCGCACCAAGTCGATACGAGTACATTGCAAATATACTGCACGTTTACGCAAACAAACATGGATGCGTGAGTCACCAAAAAATAGATCTATAAAAATATGAGAAAAGATAAATCTTCGTGATTCCACGACTGAGAATTTTCATGTTTAGTGTGGTGTACGTCGATGCGCGGTAGTTGGTCTGGGTACGCCAGAACGGCTTCGCACTTTCTTTGGTTGCACAAACGTATTGTCTATTCCGATGTTGTAAGAGAGATATATGTTCGACATGTCTGGTGGCATTGTCTGCAAAAGTATAATAAAAACATTTTTATATATTATTATGTACCTAGATCGAAATTTTGGTCATGAGGTTTCGATCAATTTTGGATATTAACAAAAAAATGATATCTCCTTTCTAAAATTAACACGACCAAATGAATAATCTTACGTCTTTATTATTCCCTGCTGGCGATGCGGTTTGCGCTTTGCGCATATTATTCCCTGTATATGCTACGCACTTGAGTTGCCATTCGCCTATATCCTCATTCCAGTGAACATATCTCTTGATCATTGTCTATAAAACAGTGCAAAGATATATTTGAACACATTTAGTGTACTCGTGAAATGACATTAATAAAATAACATTAACTTTGACCAATGCTTTTCAGAATCTTTGCTCTGTTTTGATTAATTTGAAAACTAATATTTCATACTTTTATTTCTTTTTAGTTAATATCATTTAAAAAATGTTAAAGAAATTGCGCAATACTTCCACACAAACCTGATATTGCACGGGAATATAATGATTCACAATGAGATTCTGCAGCTGCAATTCTCTGCCAATTCCTCGTACACCCTCCAGAAGACCTTCCATCTCTCTTTGGTGTTCCTGCTGCAGATCGGACAACTCTGCCTTGACAGACATTAACATTGTGTATACGCGCGCCAATTTTTTCGTTTTTCCAGCTGCTTCCTCCTGGAGAGATGAATACTTCTCTTCGATATCGATGCGTTCTGCCTCTTTTGCTTTAATGGCCCTCTTTAATTGCTCTTCGCGGCTTTTCCGTTGCTCGAGTTCGACCGCCGCGGCAGCTAACAATTGCTCCTGAGCCTCCGCCTTTTCTAATAGATTTTCGCCACCCACTAATATTTTGTTCTGTAAATTCTGCATTTTTTCCCGCAACGCTTCCTTTTCACTCCTGAAATTAGGACACTTAATTTTAAAAGCGTTCGCACTTAAATTACTTATTCATTTGATATTACAAATTTAATTACTTGTTATATAATTCTATTTATAGTTAATTTTACACTTTGACAAAAACTTACTGAGTCTTCTTCAATTCGATGACATCTTTATCCACTGGACTCTTATCGTCTCTCTCGGCCTTATCAATCTTCTCTGTCGAGTCTGTATCTTTATCCAACTCTTCCATCGACATCATTTGACTCCTTCTACGTCGAGCTTTCTTATCTCGCTTCGTTTCTCTCGATTCCTCTAAATCCTCGGATTCATCCTCGGATTCCGAGAGCTCCGCGCTATTTTCCTCCAACTGTTTGCGCAATTGTTCGATCTCGACTTGAAACTGACGAAGCAAAGCATCCTTGGGATCCTCGTTGATTCTCGCACGATTCTTAATGTTCTTCGCGCGATTCGCATAACGTAAAGTGCTTATAGTCTCGTCATAATTTATATCTGCTGGACTAATGTTTGCACACTAAAATCGCGATATTAATGATATTAGATATTTAGAGGTGCCAAAGGATTATTATATTAAGAGATTAAATATTTTTTAATTGTGGAAATATAATTATATAATTATAATGGCTGCGTTCAGTGGACTCAACAGTTGAGTGAGCGCTCGCTGCTATTGATGTATTCTTCCAGGGGCGCGATTCCGTAACTGTCTTTACACGCCTACCGACAGTTGTCGGTGTCGTTGAGTAGATATTTTATATGATGAAAAAGCTGCGTAACGATACCGATTACTATCGGTAGGCGTGTAAAGACAGTTACAGAATAGTGCCCCAGATCTAAAATATTGATTGGATGATCTGAAAGAACAAACCAATGGCTGCGTTCAGTAGAGAAAGCAGCTTTGCAACTGTTGTAAAATTCTTCAATATGATTGGTCTTGCCCTTAGTTCTTCATTGGATCTAAATGTATAAACCAATCATATTCAAGAATTTTACAACAGTTGCGAAGCTGCTTTTTCTGCTGAACAGCCATTAACAGCGAGCGCTCACTCAACTGTTGAATCCGTTGAACACAACCAATATTACTTATTAAAATTAGTAACATATTTGTAATTATTTACAATAAGTAACGTATGAAATACTCTCTCTATCACTCACCATCAACGTTTTCGAATTTCCGCCCAACGAGTCCTGCAGCAATCTAGTCAGTTTGGAATTTCTGTAAGGCACGTGAGAGCTTTGTCCGTCAACTAGCGCAGATATTACGTTCCCTAATGTGGACAATGACAAGTTAATCTTAGTGGCTTCGCGAAGCCGCTGACCTGTTGCCTTTGTTTTACTCTGTCTTTCTGATCCCTAAAAGTAAAAGAAAATGCAGATAGAACGCATGCAGATGAGAAAACATTTGGAAAATTTTCCATTTAAGAAATAATATTAGGTCACATAAGTGTACACTGATATACGTACAGCTAAATCCACCAAATGAAGCTTCCCCATTTTCACATGCTGCTCCCCATCTTCACCGATCTGACTAGATTCAACCGTAATTGTAAATATTGCGTGGGACCGAGAGCTGGACACATTCATGGCAGTAGCCCCAACAACACCTATATTCACAAGTTCAGGATTACTTTTAGTATATATGCACAATCAATTGCTATCTATTGCTATCCGTTTACAGTAATATTGTTGTTACTCACGATTTTTATTGCCGAGAGACATAATGCGATCCAAATCGTCAGCATTGTTTACCACGTACCCGCTCAGATCCTTCACAAACACTCCAATGTCCGGTCTTTCTTTCACCTCCAATCGAGTATTCTGATCTTTACCGAGCAAATCCCGAACTTCCTCATTGTAGATCTCTAGATATGTCGCACGCACGAGGAATCTATTAATAATAATAATTAGTATATTAATACCTGATAAATAAATTCAATTTGCTTAGAACAGTATCTTAGTTATGCTGAATTATTTTAATAATATAAGAGGTGTCAAGGTATCTTCTTCATAGAATTATAAAAATAATATTACAATATTATTTCGTAAAGCAGTAAAAGGCCAATTTTTATTGCATATTTTGTTGTCAATAGACAAGTGTGTATGATGCCTTACTTTTGATTTTCATCGGCTTTAGCTATATGACCAAAAATCTGAGCAAACGTGTTTGGAATAATTCCTCTGGCTTGTGGGGAGGTTTTAGCACCGGACATGGTATAAGTTTTGCCAGTGCCAGTTTGGCCATATGCAAAGATCGTTCCATTGTAGCCCTGTAGCACCTTGTCCACTATAGGCCTGGCTGTCTCATTGTAAATATCCACCTGAGTGGAATCTGTGTCAAATACTGCATCAAAGGAAAAGACTTTTGGTGGCTCTCCGTGAGCTGCATTTGGATTTTCTATAGTGATCTCGGCGTTCAGGGCATCCACATCTATTATATTTTTGGAGTGAGCATCAAACTCTTTGCTGCTCAATGGTCGAACTCGCACCACCACTCTGACATTCTCTATTTCTCCCAGCTCCGTTGTGCTGTCCTATATATGAATGTAATATAAAGATTAAGCTAGTATTTTAAAGGACATTATTTAATTCTAAAGATATATGATTTCTGATACGATAATTAAATGTTTATTATAATATAGTAAAAATAAAAAAAAGATAGATTAGAATTGATTACATTAGAAAACAATAAGATATGAAGGGTACATAAGAGTCAGCAAATCATTTGAAAGTATATAAAAGATCTACATATATTATGATAAATAAATTGTATAAATTAAGAATTCTAAAAATTGCACAATATTGATTACATTAGATTCTACTAATGTGGATTCAACAAATTTAGTACTACTGCTGTATAAATAACAGCAAACTAATATAGTAAATAAATAATTATTACATAATATTGACTAATCAATATTTAATCAATAAAATAAAATGTTAGACACGTCGTGGAACTTTTGTCCGTGTCCCGGTTACTGTCACAGCCGAGCTTGACAGAAAGACAGTTAGAAACATTAAAATGTTAGAGTTCGTCTTCTGCTTAGCACATACAAATTGTACATATTATATAGAGTATAATACTAACTTCGGTCCCAGGCATCGCGGATCCGTTTTCACCTGTAGCAGTCACATAAGCACGGGCGTTTCTCACAGCATAATTCGCAACGTTTGCGAAACACGTCAGGGAATGTCGGGCTAGCAGACGACCTCGGTAAACAAATGGATCGATGTTTGCTTTTACTGATAGACTTGCGGAGAACTGAGGACATCTTTCCCTTGCATTGGTAAACGACTGTGCAAATGAGTTTATCAATATATAATTATGTTTCCATTGGTAACGTTGCGTTTGATAATCTATGACTTTATCTATAGATGATAACTGTGTATCTATTTTATCTACTGTTATCGCTTTATTGGGAGCAAAACTGCCAAGAAGTATACGCTTTGTAAATAGAAATAAATAACAATATAAAAGAGTTGTGTCGTATATTTTAAGATTATGTTTACATAGAATATATTTATTAAAATTAAAATTAAACAAAGCTCCAAAAATTAAATCTATAAAGGAATATAAGGGTCTGCGCACAATAGAGGAACAAGAATTAGATATTAAGATTTCAATCTATCAGAAACCATGTATTCCGATGTAATTAGTTTCTGATAGGTTGAAATCTTAATATCTAATTCCTGTTCCTCTATTGTGCCCAGGCCCTAAAGCTACTGAGAGTCGGCACTGTTGTACATGTGTAGTTCAAAATAATGTATATGTCAATCACCAATTACAAACGTTTCGACCATAGGATTAGGTCATCTTCAGTATAACAATTATTCATCGGAATCAAAATTGATGCGTTGTAAAACAATAAGGTAAATGTTGTCAAATGAATCATCGCTAGGCTGTTGTCCAAAATTAAGAACTTTCCATTATCGTCTGTTGTACTTAGCTGGAAACAAGAATTCAGTCATTTAATTAAAATCGAGTTAATATGTGAAATTTATGAACTTTTTATCGTAGTCAAAGTATTAAAATTGATTGTATCAAATGGATAAAACTTACATTGTACTCAGCATAACGATAATCCGTTATAACACGATGTAATTATAATAATGTCTTGAGAGCGTGTAAGAGGACGTTTCGCATTACGCAGTGTTTATAAGTATGAAAGTTAAACAAAATAAATACTACCGCAATCTCGACGATACAAATTTATATCTTATAAAACATGGAAACAAATGAATACCAACATAAGATCGACTTTATAATTTATAAATTATAAAACAAGAACATATCCATTTTCTCTAAATTAAATCATTATACATATATAGTGAATCCAACAATTCCGTATCATTTTGCATATTAAGTCCATTTTTTGTTTTTTTATATATATAAATCGCTTCCGAAATTAATCTTTTATTCAACCCTTGTTCTTTGTCTAAATGATGTCATTCCAATCAAAATCATGATTGTGCTCAATTCTATGTTCTGTTATTATAGAGTGTTGTGCAGTGTTCCTATTTATGTGATTCCGATGTTCTTTAATATGTGTCTTCAACAATCAGTTTGGCCCACATAGGAAGCATCACAATTTTGACAATTAATTTTGTATACCACATTAGAATGTAATTTAAATAGACGGTAAATTGTTCTTTTGTGCTCTTATGAATGTATTAAATTTATTAATTCCTACGTAAGCCAAACGAACCACTCTGTTATTTTTGAAAAATCTCTTGTGAATTTCTCTGCTATTGAAGGCACGTAGGGTACAGTAAAGTATGTGATTAAATTGTCAATTTTCTTTCGTTGTATGTTCTTGTTAAGTTGTTCGAATTTGGTGTATAGTCTTTTTTTTAATGCTTTCAAAAATCAGTTTTAAAGGGTAACCGTTAGTAAGTAAGATGTTAATAATGAACTTAAAATTTTTCTCATGAAAGGTTGGATGCGATAATAATAATACCCTGTCTGTCAAACCCATATAATTGTTTCCATTTTATGGCATCTCGGGTGACACGAAAAATTGTTTAGATACCGTGCCGAGAACGAGGGTTTGTGATACCAATCGTATATCAAAATAATCGTCCTTCTTTATTAAGGTTACATCTAGAAAATTTAAACTATTGCCGCCTCACTCCATAGTAAAATTTAATCGAGGATGGTAACTATTAAACATACTTAAAATAAATTATCAATATTTTTTTCATGTATTGACAGTGTCATGTTATCAACGTATTTCACATAGACACCCAATAAAAATGATAAACTCTCAAGAGCAGTTTTCTTTAGATCCTGCATAACAAGATCTGCTATTATCGGAGAAAGTGAAGACCCCATAAGAACACCATACTATTGTTTATAGAATTTTTCGTTGAAGGTAAAAAATGTAGATTGGAGCACAAAGTTAATTGCTTTCATGAATTCCGTTTTAGGCAAAGAGATACTACTTTCTATATTCATCCAACGTTGTTCAATACTCTTAAAATAAATAAGTTTTAATATTCATAAGTAAAAGTACAATTTATAAATATTTAAAATAATTTAATATTTATATATAAGTGAAATATATTATAAAAGTTTTAGTGAGCTCTCTGTTTAGTGCAACGACAATTTATAAGGACATAGACTTTGATGATCCATACATGTATGTACAGTTTAAGCTTTTTTACTTGATAACTTTACCGAGAACTAATTTGGTACCATCGTTTAATTTATTGAATAAGAAGAAGAAGAAGCAGAGGGGAGCGATCGAAAAAGTGCTTACTAAATTTAAACGTTTCTCATTCAAACTGTATTGTACCATTATAAACGTTTTCGTAATTAATTCTTCAGACTATTTGCTTGAAGCTCAAGGATATTCTGCCAGTAGGTCGTGTCTATATAACATATAAGTATGTGAATATGAAGAGTTTACCATTCCCCAACAGCACAAAAGCAATATTGCTGCAATATTGTAGCAATATTACACGTTGCAACAATGTTATAGTAATATATTGCTGCCAATTTTATGCTGTTGGGGTTGTTGCTACATGGTACATTCTACTTTTACCATGTCTTCTTCGTATTGATCATATGAAACAAAGACTTTTGAGTTATTTTCTTAAGATATTGTGGCGTCAATTAATAATTTATTAGTTTTAATGAATCGTAAAAACGTGAAAAACTTTAAGAATATAAATATAAACAACAAAACTACTTCTTTTTTTTTCGCTTAAAACAAGATCGTAAATGTTCAAATTACAAATTTCGATTCAAAGAAAATAACAATCACAATGAAAAATAGATATATATTTGCGCGAAATAATATTTTCTGCAAAAATAGATGTACTTTTGCTAAGAAATATTTTCTACAATAAAGAACAGATATAATATTCTCTATTTAATAGATATGTTTTTGATGAGAACTAAGATCTCTCTCTCTCTCTCTCTCTCTCTCTCTCTCTCTCTCTCTCTCTCTCATTTTCCTCTATCTCCAGATTATAGAAAATTCTATCATTTACTGATTAATCTCCGCTAGAAGTAGCACGCTCTGCATAATATACTTGTACAATATGACATTGCGCTATAAATGCCGCGTCGTTTGCACTTGCATATCGCGCAATTAAACTGTGTAATTAAGTGAACAGTATATAGTAAGCGTTCAAGACATTAAAATGAGCGTGCAGAAATCGTGAGAAAATATCTAACTCAATGCGTAAATCCTTACTTTCTACCGATGAAAGTTCTGGGCGGGAATGACGAGTTTGTCATCTGATTATCTTTTAACTGTGGACCTGTTTTTAAGAACCAATCGCGCGACGAAATGGCACCTGTATTTTACAAATTAAGATAATTTGCGTTAAACTTTTCTTTAACTTTCTTCCTTTCTCTCTCTCTCTCTCTCTCTCTCTCTTTTTCTCTCTTTATTTCTATATATTTTTCGCGTCTTTTTCTATTTTTTTTTTCTTTAATATTTCTCTCGTTACAATTTAACACAAGAAATAGAGTATTTACACATTCCAGCAATTAATTATTTGAGTCAATTTTCAAACGAGTTAACATCTAATTTTTAATGTACTTGACCGGATCTCTTATTGAGAGTTTTAAAAAATTACAGTATTTTATATAAATTAACAATATCTTAAAATACTCATAATTAATGAATTCTCAAATCGTTTGATACAAGTCTGGGATAAACTGGATTCTTGATTTCAACCGAGGAAAACTATTTTATCGAGGGACATAATGTAATCTATTGTTGACTGAAGTATTTTAAATCTTCTTATCTTATTTTAATCTGTCATAATTTTTATATAAATTAATGTCTGTCATACCTTTTTACATAAATTAATGTAGGGTATTTAAGAATCCGCGCTGTAATTGATGCGCTTAAAATACTGGACGAACCTCAGTATAACTTGAATCGATCTCCATGAGACTATCCAGTGTATTAACTGGTTATGGATAATAATTGGAGGATAACCAAAGGTTTTCCACGTGTGTAGATGTTACTATTGTCAACGATGTCTAGCTGAAGAAGGCTAGAGTTTAGCCGAAATTCAAGTTATACTGAGGTTCGTCCAGTATTTTAAGCGCACTGATTACAGCGCGAATTCCTCTCTCTAAATGCCCTATATTAATTTACGTATTATCGTTAAGTTTTTTTATTAAAAGGAATCTTTTTAGGGTTGTTATAATAATACTTTTTGACGTTTGAATTGTTTATATATTGACACTTGACCACTGAGGGTTTTTTAAATTTCATTGTATTTGTTATTTATTTGATTTGTTAATTTAATATGATATTTCTGCGTTTTAACACTGAAGAAGGCTTTGTAAGCCGAAACGTTTGTGTAGAATATTATTTAGTATTTATATTCTTATGTTAATTACATCAATTTAAAGTTATTCTAATTATAAGCTCGAAACAAGCCACGACATTGTGTAATTTTTTTTTCTAAAATATACGAGCATTTTTACTCTAATTTTAATTATTTTACGTTCGAAATAAGCTAATTGGGACGAGATAGGGTCCAGCTTCGTATTGTGCGTCATCAGCCGTTCCTTCCCTATTCTTTCTCTTTCTATCTCGCGTTTTCCTCGGCTTTGTCCCTCTCGTCGAGATGGTTGCCCCCGTCGCGTGAGCACGTCGTTTGCCTCGTACCCTTCTTTCCACGCTAGAGCCAGCTTCGCGCCCCTCTTGCTCCCCCGGTGAGCGTGCCATGCCGGTT